GATACTAAGGAAGGTGATGAATGTGACGAGGACCATTATAACAACAGCGATACTAAGGAAGGTGATTAATGTGACGAGGGCCATTATAACAACAGCGATTCTAAGGAAGGTACTAAATGTGACGAGGACCATTATAACAACAGTGATACTAATGAAGGTGATGAATGTGACGAGGACCATTATAACAACAGCGATACTAAGGAAGGTGATAAATATGACGAGGACTATTATAACAACAGCGATACTGAGGAAGGTGATAAATGTGACGAGGACTATTTTAACAACAGCGATACTGAGGAAGGTGATAAAAGTGACGAGGACCATTATTACAACAGCGATACTAAGGTAGGTAACAAATATGACGAGGACCATTATAACATAGGTATTTCCATAATAATATACATATCAAAATACAGGTATACTAGCAAGCTCAGTATCATTGACATTGGAATACAAACATTAACATTAGCGATAATTACTGGCTTTATTTAGTAATTCATTTATTTATACATGTTATACGAAAAAAATATAAAACTATACTATCAATAAAGTAAGACAATATTGGATCGAAATATACTGACTGTATCAATAAAACAAAATTCCTGCAAGCCATTAAATAGAAATGGATATATCTAAAAAGCAACAAAGATTAATTTACTTCAAAATAACTGCATCTGACAAATAAAATAATAGCGACAGAATCACAATGGGGAGATTAACCTGAATTGTAAAACAGACTCCTCTGTATCTTAAAGTTCGATTTAAAAAAGTGTAACAAAAAATTGCTGTATCACTACAGTATTTTTCATTTGTACCACAATGAAACTTGCTGTACCACTAAAGAAATGTTCATCAGGCTTGTTATGAAGTTGTCTGTATCACTGTAGTAAGCTTCACAAGGTTTGTAAAAAGAAATTGCCGTATTACTATAGTAAGATTCACAAGATTTGTAATAAAATTGGCTGTATCACTGTAGTAAGATTCACAATGTTTGTATTAAAACAGGCTGTATCACTATAACAAGATAAATAATGTATGTAATAAAACTGACCGTATCACTGTAGTAAGATTCACAAGGTTTGTAATAGAACTGACCGTATCACTGTAGTAAGATTCACAAGGTTTGTAATAGAACTGACCGTATCACTGTAGCAGGATTCACAAGACTTGTAATAAAACTGACCGTATCACGGAAGTAAGATTCACAAGGTTTGTAATAGACCTGACCGTATCATTGTAGCACGATTCACCAGGTTTGAAATAAAACTGACCGTATCACTGTAGTAAGATTCACAAGGTTTGTAATAGAAGTGACGGTATTACTGTAGTAAGATTCACAAGGTTTGTAATAGAAGAAACGGTATTACTGTAGTAAGATTCACAAGGTTTGTAATAGAACTGACCGTATCACTGTAGCAAGATTCACAAGGTTTGTAATAGAACTGACTTATCACGGTAGTAAGACCCACACCTGGTCAATCTTTCTACAGTGATACAGTCAGAAGTGTCATATATATTACATAGCACATGATGTACCACTGTAGTAAGATTCACAAGGTATGTAACAGAACTGAATGTTTCTTTTAAGCAAGATTCACCAGGTTCGTCATAAATTTGCTGTATGTACTTTTCACAATGCATATACAGTTGACTGTATGACAACAGAAGCGTTAGCCTAGATCGTGAATAAGCTTGCTGCATGGTACAGGCCTGCACTAAAATAGTGTGACATAAATAACACTTTTGATTTGAATATTATACATGATTATTTAAATTGGAAATAAAAAGTAGTTGGCTTTTTATCAATTGATTAGCAAACGCAATCAACCTTACCCGTCGTAGTTATTTTTTATAAGGTGTTTCACACACCTGGATCCTACCGGTACACTGATAACTTGTTTCTGGTAAGGACAAAAAATACACTTTTTCGTCAGAACATTTGCAGATTTGTAGATGTTTTCACAGAAATAATCATAAGTCGAGTTTTCCGGAGCTCCCAAACATCGATTGTCAACGACTGTTTCTTCAGCAAACACGATGGACACTGGAAAACGATTGACGTCATGGTTGGTGACGTATTTCCACGGACAGATTCCATAGTGACCTTCATCTTTCGTCGTGATTGATAGATTTGTATTGGATGTGAGGTAGTTCAGTAATGTGTTTACAACATCGCTCTGTTGGCTGTGATCAGCGTTAGGGATGATACCCACAGGTGATCCGTGACAGGATCGCCATACAAATATAGCCGGCATAGTGAGGACGATTTGGAGCTGCAACATAAATTATTTATCATTAGTTACATATTTGAATAAAATACAACTTGAGTTAATTTTGTCGTCTATATATGACCACTAGTTGACTTACATGTTCTTATTAATTCTTGTAACAACTGGCACAGGATCAAAATGAAACACATCTACATAACATATCGATTGATATTGGTTATGCCTTAGTGTCGTTTACATGATACACTATTAAGTCATTAATTTGTCATACTCTTATATAATTGTGAAATAAATCATCGAGCGAAAAGACAAAAGTTTGTTACTTACCAAATTCTGCATAGTGATAAACTATTAACGTTTTTGTTGAACAGAACTGTTTGTAGGATTCTATTCGGAAAAAATCTTCATTTATATACTTACCGATTCAGGATGTTTTTAATTACTGTTCTTCCAATGGCCACAAGTTGGTGCTGCTCCCGGAATTGATAACTAAGTCAAACTTAATGCAATTAAAACGCGACCCACGTCATGAATCTGTCATCTTACCCAAGTCAATATCATGTGTCCGATAGCAGAAAATCTAATTAGATGCCGAGTCGATCATTGGCACTGTTAAGATGTGTTTGAAAAGGATGATGCTATGTTAAACTGTTTCTGGAGCTTAATGTTTCTCATGACTGTCTCATGTAATCTAATAATTCTCTGTCATTTTTTATGTATAAAAGTTTCATTTTGATATTTGATCCTAGATGTTTTTGGATGCTTTGAATATAGTTGACCACTATAATCAATCTAAAGAGATTTTTTAATATATTTTAGACATTTTTTCTAATTCATACTAAGCAGTGTTATAGTGAGTTAAATTTATTAATTGAATTATTTATGAAACTATTTTATTTCGCTTTTCGATTTAGATATATCCAGCATGGAGGGAAAAATACAATATTTTGCTTTTGTAAAATGTTTCATAAGATTTTAAAAAGTTACGTCCAGAACCTAGTACAGAATACACAAAAAACATGCATCATAAGGTTTTTATTTTACTTTGATGCTCGAACGCTTTTTGCTGTCCGTAATTTACTGAATTTGTTTGTTATTGATTTTAATTTACATGTCTTTTCGGTTCTGTCGTATTACATAAGAATGAACGCACAAAAATGAATGATGTCATACCGGAATTACTTTTTGCACGTGTTAAGTATCAGTGTGGATTTGTAATAAATATAAACATAGATTTCAATTGTCTGTTTGTTTAGAAATGTAGATTTTAATCATAAAAATTGGCTACAAATTGTCAACGCTCCTCACCTAAGTTCCGAACAAAAAGGACCTGCCAATCACACCAAATTCTTGTCCTGTTTTAGTCCAACAATTGTAGTTCCTGGTAATTCCTTTTCGGTCCCATTAACCGTATATTGGTTGTCACCACGTAAAACAGTTAAAGGCAATGTTATCAAGGAGTGAACATGCTTCGAATGTAAGAAGATCATGATGTGTTTCTTAATTTAGATTTTGGGTGGTTTTATGCCCTTTATTCCCTTATAGTCTTGGTTTTATATCAACCTGAGTTATGAATCCGCCCACCAGGGATAGGCATACCTTGTGTGCTGGCACTGTACAATTGTACACATATGATGTGTGGTGTTACGGCACAAATATTATACGGTATATTTAGTTTTTCCTTCACAATGAGTACACGATTCGATTTTTCCTGCGTCCTCTATTTTTATATGTACCTGAACGTTTTTTTAATAGTTTGTGTACCAAGTATTTTGACCGACCTTTTCATTTCATTATTGTAAATAATGCCGATCGTATTTTTAGCGTCAGTTCAGGTAATGTTTTCCGGTACTTTTAAAACCATTGAATAAAAGATATTAAAATCCTCAATTTGAAAACTACGGAAAAGACATTTCTAAAATAATTAACAAATTTAATCAAATCCACAAATGATATATTGTATATGCTTTTCCATTGAAATTGGAAATTATGAAATTCTTTTGTCGCATGGATTTGATTAGGGTTTAGGGTCACAACATTATGCTGGACAATTCAGAATGTGTAAATATTGCGGGTTGAACGAGACAGACTATACTATAAATGGTTTCTCCCTCAAGTTCATCTCACCACATACATCCAATCATCTATATCGAGAAAGGTAAGCACGACAAAACAATGGGAATTGATGTCATTTACCGAGGAAGATGTGTTCCGTTTATTTAATTTTCATTCGTACACGTCTCTGTAAGGATTCGAAAAGAAAAACTTACCCATTTACGAGTAGCAATGATAACTAAGTTAAAGTCTTTCCGGTTTTGCCTGATGATAATAAAATGGTCTGGGGAACCCCCTTTTATTTAACATCCTGGCAGCATATCTTGATCTGTGCGAATAAGAGTAACGATGTTAATTACTTAAATACTTCGCTTAAAATAGCACATAGGAATCTTCCACAGTTTTTCCGAAGACCTTTCTAAACTCACCGGTACCGTCCAGTCTCCATGATAAATAAGTAATCCTATGCTGTAATACACAACATCAATAACAAGGAGACTTGACACCAAACGTCATTATAATACCACATTATTGGAAATAGTTGATTTTGTCTTTACTATATGAACTAGTTTATATATACTAATTTTGTCATTTAAATGATTTTACTAGGTGTGTTTGCTAAGCTGTCAAGTTGAAGTGTGAGTAAGTATTACTCTACGTCAATATATCTAACATCACGATGAATACAAGCTTGTTATGTGAGCTTTTACTATAGAGAAATATTATATAAAACAACGAAAAACAGAAACACATTAACTCAACAGGCATGCTGTCGCTGTGTTTAACAGTGGGTAGGGGATGTGTTGGTTATACATATACATTACATAAAACTGTATGTGTGTACACAGAGGGTAGGGGATGTGTTGGTTATACATATACATTACATAAAACTGTATGTGTGTACACAGAGGGTAGGGGATGTGTTGGTTATACATATA